AAAAGACATAAAGTAATATATTGGAAAGCCCTTGGAAAAACCTAAAATATAAACTTAACATATTAGTAGCAAGAAAAGTAGCCTTTGTTTTATAGAAGAGCTTTATATTTGGTAATTCTAAACAGGAGTTAAGTTAGAAACTAAGTCAAGGGTCAAGTAGAAAAGCAGAACATATAAAATCCGCATTTAAAAGAATTGAATACTTCTACACCCATCCATCTATGCATCCATCATCCATCCATTTATATCATCTATCTATCTATCTATCTATCTAGTGAGCTAGCTAACTAGCTAGCTCATCTATATATTTATCAATCGATCGATTGACAGATTGATGTAGTTTGATTCTGTGCTGGTACTAGGGCTTGAACTCAGGGCCTGAGCACCATCCCTTAGCTTTTTCCACTCCAGGCTAGTGATCTACCATTTGAGCCACAGTTCCACTTCTGGCTGGTTTGCTGGCTAATTAGAAAAAAAGATCACTCTAATTTGGAATGATATTAGGAGTCTATTAGTTAATAGGTGCACCTAGCAGCATAATATTCTGGTCAAAAAGCTTCTTCACCAGTAAAAACCTTAAATATTATTTTTTCTTTGTCCATTATGTCTAGGAATTCACCTTGAAAACACAGGTGCAGATAACAAAGTTTAATGATATTCAACTAAAGCATTATGATATTAAAGTATTAAGAACAAATGTCCAACAGATTAAAAAACATGCTGTTAGAAAGACAATGTTTGAAATATTTTTAATGTCACAAAAACCCTAGTGTGTATTATTATATAAAGATGGGGGAAAAAAACCTCTAAGACACACCACTCAAAGTACACAGGAAAGTGATATATCTTTTTAGAAAGACGCTATTCTATTATTTATAATTCACAATAACAGGTGAATCTATTAGGATGTACGCATCAGACTAATAATGACCTTAATGTTGATTCTGTGTGTGTGTGTGTGTGTGTGTGTGTGTGTGTGTGAGCGCGTGTGCGCACGCGCACTCATACAGGCTTGAACTAAGGGCCTCATAATCTAACTTGGCTTTTTCTGTTCAAGGCTGGCATTCTACAACTTGAGTTGCACCTCTTCCTCCAGCTATTTTGCTGGTTCAATGCAGAGAAGAGTCTGATAGAGTTTTCTGCCTGGGCTGGCTTGGAACCATGGTCATCACATCTCAGCCTCCTGAATAGCTAAGATTACCATAGACTGTGAGCCACCAACTAGGGCCCGGGCTTAATATTGGTCTTCACAGAGACTTAGCTTAGCTAGAACTTTCCCTCTGCCATTATTTACCACAGACCAATGTTGCAGGTGCTGAGACACTTTCATTAACACTTAAAATACAAGAAGCCTTTTTTTCGAAAATTTCAGACTTGAGTTCACACCCAAGCAACTCAGTATTTCAGGGTGAAGCATGGAATCCTGTGTTAATAAGTTTTTCGTTCATTTATTTATTGCAGATTGGCACTCTAATACTAGCTACATTCAACCCAAGACTTTATTTTTTAAACATCCACTACTCCTTGGGTCTGCTACGGATTCCAACACTGACCCAAACACTGCTTTCCTCCACTGTCCGGATTCCTGCATAGCTCTCATCTACTCTGGCTACTTCAGTCCTCTATCCAGAGATCATCCCCACCATCTGAATTCCTCACTCTCCACTGGTTTGGTTCATGCCACTGAACATTATGTTCTATCTGTTCCTATCTAGCAGTTCTTAGCGGCCAGGGACCCCAGCCTGCCCTTAAACTGATACTAAATTATTATTTGCCAAGGGAATGGAAAAATACTAGTTTCAAGTTTATAACTTTACATTCGGAGACTACAAAGGTTAAAAAAATTTTTTTTCCTATTTCACCTTTAGTTTCCTTAAGATTGCATCAAAGCCGGATGAAAGAGTTCTAAGTTTATGGAGGGAAAAGAAAAACACTAAACAAGTATAACCTGATGAAAACAGCAAGCGTTAAAAATATAGAAGCCATGTGGTCTGTGAGACAGGGGTTAGGGAATGGGAGAGGGTAACTCAGTTGTAGAATGAGAAACATGTTTAAAAGATACAATTTCTATTAACTGTGGAGGGACCAATTTGGCAGCTAGAACCCACTACAACATAGCTTCAGGGAATCCAACAGCACAACATAGGAATTTTTTTTATTATTATTCTGGCAATTAAAATTTAGAAATAGGAAATGACTAACGAAAACTATCGGTGAACAGTCCAACTTTCTATTTCCTACCCTTTAATATTTTCAATTATGCTTAGAATAGTTTCATTAGACTTTCATTTTTAGATGAAAGTTAAAAATATTTATCTTTTTTTTGTTGTTGTTTTATTTCAAAGTTCATTTGGATCAATGATGGATCACCTGGCATGCGTGTCTTGAATATGGATTCAATCTCCAGCACACATACACACAAAAGCAAAACCAAACCAAAATCGTTCATTTTATTTTACTTATACTACTACTACTTAAGGTTTTGTGTGTTGGTCCTACAGCTTGAACTCAGGGACTGGGCACTGAGCTACTGCGTTCAAGGCTAGTGTTCAACCACTTGAGACACAGATAACACTTCTAGCCTTTTTGGTTGTTAATTGGAGATGAGTCTCACTTTCCAACTTCAGATTTCAGCCTTCTAAGTAGCTAGGATTACAGGCTTGAGCCAATGGCATCTCAATACTTATTGATATGATGACAGGATCTTAAGAAGAATTGTGACTTACTTTGAAAAGCAAAAATCACTCTTTTTGTTGTTGTTGTTGTTGGTCCTGGGGCCTGAACTCTGGGCCTGGGCACTGTCCCTCAGCTCTTCAGCTTAAGGCTACCGTTTTACCACTTCAGCCACAGGGCCACTTCCGGCTTTTTCTGCTTCTGTGGTGCTGAGGCATTGAACCCAGGGCCTCAAGCACTCTACTGCTGAGCCACCTTCCCAGCCCGGCAAAATTCATTCTTTTAGTAAAAATATTCCAATACTGTTTTGAATGAAGGATTCAGAGACAACAAAACAGGCCATTTTGATATGTTTATGGTACTATTAAGTACACAGATTTAGATTAACTTAAAATCAGCATGCAGCTGGCCATCATCAATTTACACCTGTAATCCCAGCTACTCAGGAGGCTGAGACCTGGAGGATCAGGGTACAAAGCTAGCCACAGCAGAAAAGTCTGCAAAACTCCATCTCTGCTTAGGCAGCAGATGAGATGGACAGGAGGTGTGGCTTCAGTGACAGAGTACCAGCCAGCTCAGCAAGCAAAACCCAAAAGTGTTAGTTCAAACTCAAGTAACACTGTACACCCCCCCCCCCCCCAAAATCAGCATGCAAAACTAGGAGAAAAAAGAAAATGGAACAGCAAGTCTGAAACAGGCATTATCCTGGGCTTATCATATGAGATTTATAAGTCATCGGTGTGTACATTTTATATATATATATATATATATATACATATATATATTCAAGTGTCAGGAAATATTAAAATTATTGCTACCAAAATTAATAATAACCTAAGTTTATTTGAGTTTATTTATATTTAGGACTTCTCTCTTCCCTCCCCCCCCCTCCCCCCCCCCCCCCCCCCCCCCCCCCGCCCTTTCCCTTTTTTCACCTCTGGAGATAGACACTTGCTATGGTATCCCAGGCTGACCCTGAACTTGTAGCTTCCTATGAGGGCTGGGGTTAGTGGTGTGCCACTCAGATCCAGCTGGACTCTGGATTTATAGATCTTGGAAAATTCAATATACACACCTATGTTTGTAGCATGTCTCAATGTGTCAAATAACTTTCCCAAACTTCTAAATATACACCACTCATGTCCAAGTATCTCCGTATCTATTCTACTATGGCCACACACACACACACACACACACACACACACACACACACCAAAAACAAAACAAAACACCAAAAGATGCCAATCAATAAGCGCCTTGATAGGCCTGGAGATCTTCCAACAATCTTACAACCAATAGAAAAACTTTCTCTACATCTCGATTCGTGTTTCACCCATCCCCAAAACTCAGGAGCACGAACCCCGAGTGTCCACCCTTACCCAGGAGGAGAAGCCCCGGTCACAGCAATCACCAGCACTTGGGAAAACGCTTTAGCTCAGCTACCTCCGTTTCTCAGGACTTCGGGAGACAATAGAGAACGGAAGAGTTCCGGGAAGGAAGCGGGATTTCATTTCTCCCCCAAGTTCACGTGTGCAACAACCGCTCCGCGGCGAGTGCACCGTGTGCCGAGCTGCAAAGCACGCAGCGTGCAAAAGGGACCTGGCCGGGGCCTGGGGGGTGCGCGGGGGACGGCGGCGCAGGGGTTCTGGTGAGCGCCGGCCGCGGATCCGGGTGGCGGGGCTGGGGAATGAGAGCGAACGGCCGGGGAGGCGCCTCGCCCCGGGAGCGCACGAGGCTCGGGGCTGCGGAGAGGTTCCGTTTCCATCGGGGCGCCCGCGCCTCCATGTTCGGCGTCCGTGTCCTCCTCCCCCCCCCCCCACCGGGCGGGAAAAGGATCAGCCCGTGTCCTAGGCCGCGGACGCCGGCCTCACCTCGTCCCCCAGGCCGGCGGGGACGGCGCTGCCCGCGGGGAAGGATGCGCCGGGCTCTGCCGCTCCGCCCACCTGGCAGGGGGCTCGGCCCTTCGACCTCCGGGGAGCCCGATCCGACCAAGCAGGGCCTGGAGCTCCCGGTTCCCACTCGCCCGCCTGGCGGCCGGGCGCGGCCTGCCCATGTCCGGTGGGATCTCGACCCCCCACCCGCCTCGGCCCTTCGCGAGGACGAACCTGGGGGCCGCTACTCGGCATGGCCAGTCCCGCCACAGGAAGCTCCGGCGGGCCGCGGGGGTGGGGGGGAGGTGACGAGGGGCGACAACGGCCACCCCCCCCCCGCGCCGCGCCCCCTCCCGCGCCCCGCTTCCCCGCGCCCCCCCCCCCCGCCGGCTTGCACAACTCCCTCCGGCGCGCGCGCGCGCGCACACGCTCACCGGGACCGGCCGCCCAACCTACTTGCAAGGTCTTCTCCGCAGCCATCACGACATGCTCCGGACGCCGCCGCAGCCCCGGGGCCCTCGGGCCGGCGGCCGCCTCCGGTCCCGGCCCAGGGCCGCCGCGGCCGCCGCTAGGGCGCGGGGCAAGCGGGAGGCGTCCCCATGCCGTCCGCCCCGCCAGCCGGGCCGCGCGCGCGCGCGCTCCGGGGGCCTCGCCGGCTGGGGCTCTCCGCTCCTCCCCTTCTACCCTCGGCTCCGGGCGGGCGGCAGCGACCCCGGCTCCCTCGCCGTCCTCCCGGCAGCCCCGCGCTCGCACCCGCCCCGCGTCCTCCTTCCCCGGTGCTCCGAGCCTGCCTCGCCGCTGCCGCCGCCGCCGCCGCCGCCGCCGCCTCTGGAGCCAGCCGGGCTTGGCAAACCAGCACCTGCTGCTGGAGATCGCCGAGAACTGAAACAGGAAACCCCGGGCCGCGGGGAAAACCCGGGAGGCGTGGAGAGGGGGTGCGGGGAGCTGCCGCGACTTGTCCGGCTGTCTGTCGGTCGGTCGGTCTGTCTGTCCGGCGCTTTACCCGCGCCGCAGGGGCTGGGGCCTCCGCCCCTCTGGCCTGGTCCCCTCTCCCACCCAGTCCAGGGGTCCGGATCGTCGCCCCCCTCCCCCGCCTCCCCCAGCTTCGTCCCGGATGGAAAGCCGCCCCATCTCCAGCCGGCAACAAGACCGATCGTGGCCTTAGGCACTTAGGGGAATCCTGGGCTGTCATGCCAGGGCCTGTGCGGGGGTTGTTTGCTAATTATCAGTATTCCCACACGAGGGAAAAACAAAAGACAAAAACCACACCACCACACCACACCCTGTCCAAGCAAGACCAATAAGGGAATTTAAACAAATGAAGCGGTTGGGACTTCTCTTCACCAGGAAATGGGCCTTGCTGGAAATGGCAAGGGGGTTGAGCTCAGTTGGTAAATCCAGATGGCTTGGAGGCGGCTGGGGAGTGAGGGAGCTGGGCACACCTGAGGGGCGAATGTGAAAACTCCCAGAGCCGAGAGTTCCTACTTCTGTGAACTGAACACACCCAGCGTTATCTAGGTCAACGTTTCTGTACAAATTCACTTTATTCACTTGCCAAACAAAAATGCTGCTCTGAGCCCTGGGCAGGATTCCTCAAGGCCAGAGCAGAGGGCGGACACCGGACAGACTGTCCCCCTAACAGGTGTCCCCATCCACTAGTGTACTTTCAATGCTGGTGACTTCATGTCACTGTTCAGGTGAGCTGGGCATTCAAATCTGGTTTGTGCATCAGAAGTTAAAACGTTGACCTGCAATGACCCAGCTTGAATTTTACCGACTTCATGTCTTTGGTTATAGTTTTCTCTTTTAAAAGAATTATTTCATGCCTCTCCTGCTTGTTTTCAATAGGGCAGAGCTGATCTAAGCCTGGACCATAGTCTACTTAATGGCTGTGAAAGCCATCAGGTTTATTAGAGCTCAAATTTAGTTTCCCAGATTACCATCCTTTAAAAAAAAAAAATTGTGGCTTTAAGCCTGGCACTGGTGGCTCACACCTATAATTCTAGGTACTGAGGAGGCCAACGTCTTGGCTAGATGTCGGGGCAGAAAAATCTTTTGAGACTCCATCTCTAAAATAACCACCCCAAAGCCAGGCTGGAAATATGGCCCAAGAAGTGGAGCATCCATAAGTGCACAAGAAGTCCTGAGTTCAAATCCCAGTACTACTATTTAAAAAGATGTGCCTTTGTGATTCAGCTGAGCGGCACAGATGTCCCTGTCTCTTTGGCTACCATCTATTATTCTTTAGCTGTCAAGATTAGCAACCAGCTCTCTATAGCAGGGGCAGATTTCATTGGCAAGAAAGGTAATTTGGCTCTAGGAAAGCCAAGCCCACAGAAGTGCCAGGGCCAGGGACTTAGAAACTTAACTGGCTGATGACAGTAAGTCAGAGCCTCTACGTCATGCCTGTAGTGTTACTGGAAGTTTCTCCCATTGTACAATATACTGCCCACAAAGTCTGCCTCTTGCTCGGTGTCCCAAATTAATGTAGTTGAGTCTTACTCAATACTGATTAAAGATCAGGGCACACAGCCAGATGTTAGTGGCTCATGCCTGTAACCCTAGCTGCTTTTAGCAAGCTGAGATGTGAAGATTGTGGTTTAAAGCCAGCCCAGGCAGGAAAGTCTATGAAACTCATCTCCAATGAAACACCAGAAAACCAGAAGTGGCGCTGTGACTCTTAAGTGGTAGAGCACTAGCCTTGAGCAAAAGAGCTCAGGGACAGTGTCCAGATCCTGAGTTCAAGCCCCAAGACTGACAAAAAGGAAAAATGGTCAAGGCGCTTTGCCACATCCTTTGGAGATAAAATGAACAAAAATTGTAATAGCTGATATTTAATGATAAGGGTTACTTAGGTTACCAGATTGTGGGTACTACTCTAAGCTCTTAGAATGTGTGATCACATACAATGGCCACAAAATCCCTGTAAGGAAATACCTACCACTAGTTCACATTTCACAGATGGGAAAAACATGGCCAACATGACAGCCGTAAATAACCAATAGTACAAGCACTAAAATTTAGGCATTCTGATTCCAGACTCGAGATCCCTTATGCAAATACCACACTAGGACTCTTCCTAATCACCTTACTATTGAGTTGGGAAGAGAAAAGCACGTGAAAGTTCAAAGGAAACGAAGATCACTATGTGTCATGGGGTAATAAATCCTGTAGCGTGTCAGGAAACGGGAGACACTTCAAGTTGGTGTAGTTGAGAAAGCTTTGAAAAGCAGGAGTCTGAGCTGGATTGTAATGGATGAATACTTTGATAAGTGGGAAATTTGGGGAACAGGGTTAAGAAAAAGCTAGAGGAAAAAGTAAGGCAAAGTCAGATGTAAAATGGCTCAAACCTGTAATTCTAGCTATTCAAGAGGCTGAGATCTGAGGACCTCAGTTTGAAGCCACCCTGGGTAGGAAAGTATGTGAGATTCTTATCTCCAATTATCCACTAAAAAATTGGAAGTGGGTTGTGGTTTAAATCATAGAAAGGCAGCCTTGACTGAAAAAGCTAAGAGACAGCGTGCAGGCACCAAGTTCAAGCCTCAGAACTGACACAAAATAAAATCGTGTGTGTGTGTGTGTGTGTGTGTGTGTGTGTGTGTGTGTGTGTGTGTGTAAGAGCCAGAGACAGACAGACAGACAGACAGACACAGACAGAAACAGGGGACACAGACAGGGACAAAGAGAGACAGAGAAATATGCCCATTGTGAAACCTGAAGTATTACTGGCTGGAAAAAAAAAAGGGGGGAAATGGAGGGGTTGAGGAACTATTTTTAAATGTTCACAATTGTTTGGCTTCAGGCATATATTTGATATAACATCAAGATATGCAAGTGAAAATGATACAGTGTTATCTAGAAAAAGCAGAGAGTTTGGCAAATGAAGCCCTTAGCTGCTATGAAAGTAAGCCTGGAAATTTAACATGTTCATCTTTGTCAGCCAACGTTGAAACACAATTTATAAAAACTTGAATATAACAATTAAAATATACCCAGGTGCTGATGGCTCACACCTGTAATCCAAGCTACTCAGGAGGCTGAGATGTGAGGATCTTAGGCCTGAGGTAATCTGACCTCATGTTTCATTTTGAAAGTGGAGAAATGGAGGAATCAATTGCTGATTGAGTGTCAAGCTTCATAAGAGGCATCAAGCAAGGAAAGCACCTTTGCTCCTGCCGTTCTGGCTAGCAAACTGGTGTTTCAGTTATAAAAGCAAGGCTGGGAATTGCAACTTGGAATTGCACTTGGAACTCAAGTGGTGACAAACACTAGATAAGCATGAATAGATGGCAGAGTTTCTGCTTTCTAAAATGTGGCTGTCAGGTAGACTAGCACACAGCTAGATTCTCATTGGAGTCATAAAATGGAGAGATTCAGATAATCATCACACACACACACACACACACACACACACCTTCCATTGGAGTTGTGTTAGCATAGCTCTTCCCTTCCCTTTCTACCCTATCTAAGATCTCCAGGACCTTCCAAAAGTTACCCTCAGTCACCGGCCCACACCCCTGGAAAAATACTTCTAGATCTCTCTAGAGGTATCCTGATGGATTTTTGCCATCGGTCATGGGTGAATTCCATCATTACATTTGGAGTCGGCCAAAGAGGTATTTTTCCTCTCAAATCGTATCTCAGAATGCTTACCTTGGTTAACACGAGGCTGGCGGTGTCTGTGACACACCTTCACGTCCAACTTTGCACCAGCAATCTAATTTCTTCCAGTTGAAGGGTTTCACGGAGATAGCCAGGTGGCCACTGTGACGCGTCTTCCGTGTGTCTTGGAGAGTTTCTGGTTAATTCCGATGAGGTATAAAATGTCTAGCTAATTTATCAATGTTCATCTACCAAAACCCTTCAGTAAAGCACATGCTCCATACAAGACAGACACGGAGAGATACCACACATTCTTCCCCTGGAGCTTCAGTGACCGCCTGGAGGTGCTTACTAACGCTAAGAGCTTAGAGAAGGAAACCGGCAGACACGAGATAGGCTCTGTTGACCAATCTCAGGGTTTCTTTCTTTTGATGGGAAACCACAAGACTCCATACCAATGGCATGACTCTTTTTTTCCACCAGCATTTGTGGGAGGACATCAGATAAGGTCGCCAGACAGCAAGGTTTTCAGTCCTCTTGTGTCCTATAGCCCAGGGGCTACATTCTCTACCCGAGCCTCATGGGGTGACTGAGCCACTTTTACCACATTTGGTCAATATAGGAATTTTGAGAAGAAACACTTAGTTTTGGAAATATAAAGAGATGTACATCCTAGCTGGAACGCTGCCATCTTAACCAAGACCATACCTGCTGCTTTAGCGTAGCCCACTCTGCCTAGCATATTCTCATGTCTCCCTTTCCCCTCCCTTTCTTTCCCTCCCTCCTTCTCTCTCTCTAGTCTCTCTTCTCTTTCTTCTTTCCCCTCTCCTATCTCCTCTCTTCTATCTCCCTTCTTCTGATCTCTCTCTTTACTCTTCTATCTTCTCTCTTTTCTCTCTCCTCTCTCCCTTCT